AAATTCAGATTTGAGAAATAAACAGGTTTGATATTTCTTTTAAATATTAGAAATTGCAGCAGTGCATATTTTGAATAAAATTGTAAGACAATGTCACCAATTCACACCCACACAAGCATACACACCAAAAAACTCAATTTACCATCAATACATAACCCAAGGGAGCATCTAGACAATAGGAAGATATAGGTAAAGAAAAAAAATTTAGAAGACAAGGGAGAGGTGTATTTTTTACCTTCAAGAAGTCTCTTTTTTTTTTTTTCTTCTCACTTCTCTACTCCTCTTGACTTCCCTTGAACAAACTCTCCCTCTCTCACCCTCTCCTTGAGCTGATCCAAAAACGTGGGTGTGGGGATTGGGACCAACTCTCAATTTATATAAGATAGATTGCTTAATGGCTAAGGGAGTAAATATCTAGATATTTATTTATTTATTTATTTTATTTATTTCTTTGTCTCTTCCACCAATATTATATATATATATATATATAAACTATGTATATATTCAAGACACAATAATATTCCATTCAAATAAATAATTAATGAAAGAACAATAATAAAAAAAATTAGAAATAAGAATAAAATGTGTGAATTAATTTAGAAATTATGAGGTAAATAAATAAAACCAAGTTTTAGGATAGTTCCAATCATAAAGTGGTGTTCTATGATTTAATTATGGTCACACACGGAGAAATTATTCCTTACTTGGGCCCTTACACAGATTTTTTACGGAACTAGGGTTAAAATGCTATTAACCTAAGGCTCAGGGTTTCAAGTGTAATTAAAAAAAAATTAGGGTCTCTACACAATGCATGCATCTAAACTTCCCAACATACCCAAAAACCCACGAACCTCCCCAATAGCAAGTAATCTAGCAATATTAGTTGTTGTTGGAGATCTCAGGCATTCGAGTCCAAAGATTTCAATTACTGAATTGCAAAAGTATTGTTAACTTTCAATTGCCGTGCATTTCTCAATACACAGATAATCATCAACTGCATTTGCTGCCACTCCATATGATAGTATTCTCATTGCTGAAGTCATCTTTTACAGTGGAGACAATCCAAGGATATAAGTTGCATCTTCTTTTTTTTTTTTTTTTTAACAAAATATGGATCGTGTGCTTTAATGACATTCAAAATTCGCAAATAAAGAGAACGACACATTCTAAAACATCTCTAAAATGTTGTAGGTGAATAAACTGGATTTGCTGCAAAATAATCCGCAAACAATCGTTCATGACCCTTCCATCTATCACGACGTATATAATTATGTCCTACAACAGAACCACCTCTTTTCTTTGATCGATCAGTTGATTGTAGAATCTGAATCATAGTAGCATTATTTATCTCATAAACACCCAGAAGTTTGAAAATTTTTTCATCATTAGAGGATAGAGGATGAAAAAGAAGAAGATGATGAAAATAAAATGAACACATTAGAATTTGAGGTACTCATTATGTTGTGCTTTCAGTTATGGTTGGTTCCAAATATAACGTACCTCTTTCTGGTTTATATGGTACAAGGGTTAATGCGTTTATATCAGTTTTTGGAAGGAAATTATTATTGTCGGCAAAAAAATTGGAAAAGATTTAATGGAGGGAAAAGAAATGGGAAACGAATCGGGGAAACAGAAAAAAGAGGGGAAAAAAATATCATTTTCCCTGTCCAGTCGATCGGCCGGTCGTCCCCCCCGACGTCCACTGCGTTTTGATGAAAGTTACAGTACACCGTTGGAGTGACTGATATTAGATTGAGGAACTCGTCATTTTTTACTCAGATTTGATGAAAAAAATGACGAACCGTTGGAGATGTCCTAAGTACAACAATTTTGTTTGGTTTAGCTTTAACATCATAATTTGAGTGTGAAGTTATACTTTGAGTTATAAATTTTGAATTTAATTTTGAAAATAAAAAATTTATTTGATTATAAGTTTTAAAAAAAGTTTTGAGTTGTATTTTGAAATTTTTTAGATTTATTTTTTAAAATATTTAAATATTTTTTTAATTTTATATAATTTTATATATTGAGACATTGTTTAATAATTATATATTTTAGTTAAAAAGTCAAAAAATCACTATAAATTATCATAAATCTTTCTATTTTTTGTAAAAATTAAAAATTATTAAAATAATTTATTTTTAAACGAAGTTTAAGTAATTGAAAAATAAGAAGAACAAATAATAAATTATAATTAATGTAAGATCCAGTTACACCAAATAATTTCCGAAGCACGGGGGAGTCTGGGGAGTGTGGTCAGTGCTAGGGTTTGGGTCCTACATTTGCCCTTTGACTAGGGTTATATATATACTAGCGGCCGCGAACACGCGATGCATATACAATTTAAATAAATAAGAATAAAAGAAAATTAAAATAAAATTAATATTATAATTTGTACTTAAATAAATAGAAATAAAAGAAAATAATAATAAAATTAATATTATAATGTGTACTTAGTTTAAGTAGTATGAGTCCTCATACTTAAACCCATGGTCATGGGTTCAAACTTTGCCCATCTCTTTGTTTAACTTTTTTTAAAAAAATAAAAAACACTGACACATGGCATGAGGAGAGTAAAGTTTCAAGACACCATAAGAGATGTTTACTTTATAATAGTATATATATATATATATATATATGTATAATAAGGCCAAGTTTGGGTAGTGTAAAAAAAGTCAAAAAGTTAAAAAGTTATTACTATTCATCAAAAGTCAAAAATTACGGCTGTATAACTTTCAATCCTAATTTTTTCAATCCTAATTTTTTCCTATACACTAACTTATACAATAAAATAAACCAAATGAGTGGGCGGCTATGTTTCGGTCCAGGTATCGTACACTTTTTAGGGGTGTACGTTTTATAATTTGCTGTTTTCAGTTTATAGAAAATATTAAATATATTTATGTTTATTTTGGATAAAAATAAAAATCATTTTTTGTATATAAATATTTTAAAATTTTGTTTTAAAAACAAGTAAAATGAGTGGTTGGGAGAGGTGGTTGGAAATGGTGACCAGAGGTGGCTATCGACTGTGGCAGGTAGTGGTCGAGAGTGACTGCCACCAGTGACAGGTGGTTGGCAATGGTCAGAAAAGATTGATGGCCACAAAAAGTGATGGCCGTAAGTGACTAACAATGGTCGTAGATAGTAGTTGGTGTCGCCTAAAGTGATAATTAAAAGTGATGTTCAACAAATGGCCATGGCTAAAGGTGGTTACAATCAGCGGGAGGTGGTTGGTGGCAATGGTAGGTGATCGGCAGTTGAGGAAGATGATGGTTGGAGGTTGTTGGAGGATGAGATCATTAGTGACAGCAGCCGGTAGTGATAAGTAATATGTGGTGGTCAAAAAGAGTAGGAGAAAGAAGAAATTTTTTTTTTAAAAAAAATGAAACAATTTTTTTTGTGTTTTGAAACTGTTTACAACCTTTGAAAAAAAAAATAGAAGCCAAACAAATTTTTATTTATAGTTTTAAAAAATTCTATAATTATAAATATAAACGTTATTAAACAGACCTTTAATTATTATGTATATCTTATTAAGTATGTTTTATGAGACACATTATGTATTTTTTCGATAAACGTAATATAATTTTTTTATACAGTTACAATAATTTATAATTCAAAAATAAAATTATGAATTTTTGTGATAATATTACACTTTTTTATAGAAATATTTATGAATTATAAATTAATGTAATCAAAAACAAAAAAATACATAATATTATTACAAAATGTATAACTTAATTTCTAAATTATAAATTATTATAACTTTAATTTCTAAATCATAAATTATCATAACTTTAATAAAAGAATTATGTAATATTTAACATAAAATAAATAACATATATCATAAAAATATGTAATAAGATGCATATATGTTCCTAATTTAGGAACATTTAAACCAATTCAAAATATGTATGCTCATATTGAATATATATATGACTAGAAGTATTTTATAGTTAGTTATGGGTTGTTAGATTTATTGTTCACCCTCATCAAATGGCTATAACACGTGCAACGACTTTTTTTTCTTAGACTCTGAGATGCATCAATTTTCTCTGAAAAAATTTCAATATATTTATTCTGTTTGGGAACTCAGATTATTAGTTACAAAGTTAAAAAAATATTATAAATTGTTAAATTATTCTTTTTATTTTTCTGCGTATCTCTATATAAAAGTTAAAAAAAATAATAATAAAAAAGTCAATTTCCAAACACATTAATAAGTTGTGTCTATGTGAATAAAATGAGATTAAAAGGAAATTCTAAAACTATTTACCGTATGTTCTAGTTATAATCTTTTGTGATTTTTAATTTTGATCTATTGTAGTATTAGTTGTGACTTGGTGACTTATTATTTTAGTTGCGATCGAAGAGGTCTTTAATTATATGCCTCAAGTGATTTTATGTTATACCCCTTACGACACTTTGTAGTGTTAATCTTAATTATAATTTATTCTGATTGTAATTTTAATTATGATTAAGAAGTCTTTGGTTATGACTAAAAAGTGTTTACTTATGATCCACTAAATTATGATAGAGCATGGTTTAATTATGAGACTTTGTAGTATCAATACTATAGAGTATCATAGAGGAGGGTGTATTGTAACATTATCTTGACAGAAAACCTTGAACACGCTTACATTGCATAAAAATATGAGTAAATTGTATTATACTCTCCTTAACTATTATCCTGTATTAATTTATTCTTTTAAATTAAAAATTAGAACACTTAATCCTTTTATTAATTTTTTTCAGTTTAAACTTTTATAACAAAAATACCTTTTAGTTAGGCTCCTCATTGGTGGAACTATGTCAAGACGGTATTGTGCATTCGTCAAACCATCAGCAATCAAATGGTTGGTAGGGTACCATCCAAATAGCTTCTCTATCAAAACCAGTTGTTGCATGCATAAAGGAGTCATAAGAGCATCAGCATCAGAGTTACTACAACGAGTTTGACGGTATTGTAGAGAGCGAAACTATAAATATGCTAATGCATCAGAGTTACTATGGGCTTCATTCATTTTGACAAAGTTACAGTTCCTCCTCTGATGAAGCGAGGAACTGTTCACAAGTAATCAATTTTTTATTATATTTTCTTTCCCGTGCTTCTTTCTCCTGCCAACAAGAACACTATCTCTCATACTACCATTGCTGTCAACACTTACCAGAGCCATCACACAAATTTCATTCTCACAATCTTGAAAGTTCATCAGGTCTCTCTCTAAACTGGAGCAAAGCTGGGGTCATCCCCCAAGATGTCCCCTAGGATGTCCCATGAGAAGAAGAAAAATGTTGATTGCTTAACCGGCCGTCTGGTCGTCCGGCCGATCGACCACCCTGCCTCCTGTGTTGTTGTTGTTCTGTTGTTGCTCTGGTGCTGTCTTGGGTCTTATTTTATACCTGTTTTAATATATTTAAATTGAAAAAGATAAAAGAATAAAAAATAATATTTTAATGAAATAAAATTTTAAAATAGAGAGTTTGATGAAGTGTGTATATAAAAAAGAAGCTAGCTAAAATAAAAAAGTGGATTTTAGGTTATAATTTGACTCAAAATTTGCTGAAGCTAATGCAGATGCTCTAAGATGTCTTCGACAAATCTACCAACAACAGCTCAAGTTTCCAGTACAATTCCATATCTCATCATGTCATGATAGTCCATACATTGATGGCCGAAGTATTATATTAGTTTTAATTTCACATCGTCAATCAAAGTCACCTGAATTTGATTAATATAATGTGATGATCTCTTCATTTATAACTAATTAATTTTGAGTTGGATGTTTTAACATGGCATTGGAGTTGGGTCTTAGTGGCCTCTCATCTCTTGTGGTTTAAGTATATAAATCTCTACCTGAGTCTATTTCACTCATCTAGTCTATCTTGACTTAATCTCACATCATCAATCTAAGTCACCCAAGCTTGGTGGCCAAGATGGAGTTAATCTCATATCGTCAATCTAAGTCACCAAAACTTGGTGGCTAGTTAATTTTGAATTGGATGCTTTAACAAAATACATCTTCTCATATATATTATAAGAAAAGGGAAAAACTCTGCAATTTGTTGCACTTGCAGCAGTAATTTCCTTTAAATGTTGGTTATTGTTCTAAAACTGGTATTGCAGCTATAATTATTATGATGTTCTAGTCAAAATGATACCCAGGTCATTTCTACAACCGTAGAGACTAATTTAATTATTGATTTACCTGAGAACCGAACCAAAGTGGTCCATGAACACCCTAAATAATTGCATGAACCACCCATGTCCCCTGGTTCTCACACAGTCAGTAGTAATGCAAATCATAATTTTCTATGATTTATTTCACCATATTTTTCTTATTCATTAATTCCTTTCTTAGTTTAAACCCTAAAATTAGGTCAATTAAGAAACACATGATAATATAACACGTTGGGTTTCTTCCTTCTTCTTCTTTATCTAATAATGGATTGGATCACATAGACTTAATTATTAAAGTTAGAGGGCTTAGATCCATTAAGTTGTCTTATGATAATATGATATCAAGGTTGTATTTGGTTGGAGGATTTGAAGAGGGAAATAGAAAGGGAAAGGGAAGTAGAAAGAAAAGAAGAGAGAATTGATAAGATTCAAATTCCAAGCTACATTTGGTTAAGATAGAAAATGAAGAAATAAAAGAGCCCAAGTGAACCAAAAAGACAAAAAGTGAGATTGCTTTTTCCTCACTTTCTTTTCCCCAATGTTTTCCATTATATATACCAAACAAAAAGTGGGATTGCATTTTCTTTTCCCTTTTCATTTCCTTCATCTAATCTTCTAACCATACAGAACGTAAAAGTATTTTTTTTTTAAATAATACCCACATATATATATATATATATATATTATAGCAAAACACATACAAAGTTAGGTGCTCTGAAGAGCATGCCTTGCCAAGAAACTCTTCATGGTAATAACCATAGGACAAAATTTCTTTAAGAAACAGTCCGAGCCTTTAGTGTTTTCACCTAATGACTAAAACTATATATTATTTTCTCTGCTGTTATTTTTCATATCTAATTTACTCTCTGTTAATTTCCCTAGCCTTTAAGCATTGTCACCCAGAGGTTAAGTTTGTGTGTTCTTTCTAGTGTGTTTGTTCTTCTTGTGTTTTGTGTCTTACCGATTATAGTTAGGCATTATGGATTGCTAACACCTTTGACATATATGAACAAATTAAGTGGCTTTACCAAATGTGTCGATTCCCATCTCTGTCATTGATCATCATAAACCTCATTCTTCCAGACTTGAGATGAAAGAGCTCAGCAACACTCAAAAATCTCCAAATTTCATACAATTATCATATCATCTCTTATATCACACCTCTAAGTAGGATTAATCATTGATTGGATTCACCACAGAACTGTCATTGTTCTTGAATAAACACAATTAAGAACACAATCCCAATCCTACTCCACTCAAGGAAGTGCAAGTGAGTTTCCTTTTCAAATATCTTTCAAATTACATTGATTTATGTTATGAAGTATAAACAAGTATGTTCTTTCTATAAGAAAAAACACAAATAAATGAGTCAAAATGAAGAGAAAACCACAAAAAATAAATAAACAAATAAAAGGGAAGGAAGAGAGCAGTTACAAAACTAGATGGTCTGTTCAGAAATATCTCAAGAAGCTTTACTCATCCTGTTGAGAATAACAACAATTGTTACAACAACAATAAAAAGAAACTTCGAAGTACTCAAATGAAATGAATCTAGAACAACAATTGGAACAAGCAAAGGTAGAAATCTATGCATTAGAAAATGATGAACACTTAACTCATTCATACAATTGGAGTGTGATCTATTCAGTTTTACACCTGTACATATGTTCTCCCCTAACAAATTGAAACAAATGGTAGTTATGAAAACTATATAAGTGCTGCAGCCTGCAGGTGCTTTCCAATCCTCAATTAGCGCTACCTAATGTGAAGTTAAAATTGTAATTCAAACCATCAAATCCAAACAAGCTTGGTGAAGAAACAAAAATAAAAAATAAATGATTGGTTTCTCCCAAATAATTCGCTGTGTTGTGCTCTAAGTAGCACTGACACGTGACATGTGACAAGGGCACAGCTTTGACACATGGCCACGTTGATTTTCAAAAAATGCACGACATGATATGTCTGGAACATGTTAAAAAATTATATTTTTATAAATTTATTATATGTCAACAATGTGAATAGCTTTTTCAAAGGTAATGAAAAAAACAAAATAACAATAATTAAAATTAAAAGGTTATAAATTTCATAACCTAAAAACATCAATATATCAATCACATGACAATTAATTGCAACATAAATAATGCAAAATAATTGTAGAATATAGAAATACAAATGATGTATTCATTTTATTAATGTTTGAAAATATATTTAGATTGAGTAGTTGCATTCCAAAGAATACAGAACATTATTACTATGGAGAGAATCATCACATAGGTCGTCTTTGGAAAGTTTCAGAAATCTCACCGAAACGTCTGTAAAGTGTTTGATATTTTATGAATTTACATTTTTAATTAAGACACGTTAAAGAAGTGTCAGACACGTTTTTTAGGAATGTCTGCAAAGTGTCGTGCCTGACACAGGTTTCTGACACAACACGCCTCCTCCATAGAAGTGTCCATGCTTCTTAGGATGTAGTTGCAGCCAATCAAGGCCTAGAGTACATTATACTTAAACAGTCAAAGAACTATCACATGTTTGGTAGTTGGCAGTTTGGTGCTTATTTGGGTTGGTTCAGTTCATCCTTTGGTGTAGTCTTCCCTTAAAGGATATAGGGTAAAACTCTTGGAGGAAGGAAATTCCTCCAAGAGTTGAGGATTTGTGCCTTTAGTTTAATAAAAAGATGTTTGGCTAATTCATTTCCTCCTCCTTTTCTTGGAATACCTAGAATCTCATGTTTAAGATAGGTCCTCATGAACTGGTGAAGAATAGAATGATGGAGGATTTTATGAATTTGAATAGCTGAAACTATGAAACATGAATGAAATTTCTGTCCCAGTACTCACTAAATGATTTTTCTGTGAGATCAAGTGCATAAAAGGAACAGCAAAAAAACAAATAATAATAATAATAACAAAATAAAACATTAAATGAACAAACAGAAACATAACACATGTAAACGAAAAGCAAGATTTGATCTAGTTAATGCACTTACTTCAAGATTGGTTGTGCGAATCAAAATCTGCAGCCAATTGTTTCCCATACTCTCCTGCTCTTCCTTAATTTCCCTGGCAGAATTTACAAGACAAGGATTGCACTGATGCACCTCAATCACCTGTAGTGTGGGTATATCCCCTATTTCAGATGGGATATTCTCAAGACCATGACAATTAACCAACTGTAATCGCTGAAGGGTGGGAAAATGATTACTGGAAACATCCCACTGCATAATTTCCAGGGATTCCAATTTTAACAATTTGAGTTGTGGGAACTCCCCATCACTTGTTTCCCAATGTTGTCCGGTGCAGGCATGAAGTAATAATTTGAGAACCTCAAGGTTGGGTAGTAACTTGACAAGTGTTGACATCGCATCCCACTTTAGATTGGTTTTCTTCAAAGTTAGCTTTTTAAGATTTGGGGGAAACTGAATGCTCTTGAGACTATTTGAAGAGCAGTTATGGCCTGTATTAAACAATTTCAACTCTTGGAGATGATTTAGGAAGGTTAAATGAGGAAATGACAAACATCCCCCATCTATCAATTGCCCACGAAATCCCAACTTTCTGATATTTGGAGTCCCAAACAACAAATCCCGGCAAGACCATGGATCGACCCATGAAAGAGTTTGTAGGTTATCCAACAAGAAGGGATATTGATCATGGGGATATTGCATTCCAATTTTATTTATCCCTTCTCCAGTAAGACGGATATGCCTCAACTTTACCATCTTCCTAATACCATATGGTAGAGTTACAGACGAATGTGTACCAAGAAATTTATGCATCTCTTGTCTAGTTAAAGACAGATTCATTAAATGCTTAGCACATGGAACTAGAGTATGTGTACTGAGAATCAGGGTTTCTAAATTACAGAGGTTAGTTATTGAATTTGGGAGGTAAGTTTGTGAACATGATGAGAGCAAAGAAAGTGCCAAGTACCTCAAGAGAATAAGTTGTTCTATCTCACCGGGGTAGGTAGTAAAATCTACAGAACCCATATCCAACACCTTAAGAAGTTTGAACCATGGAGGAGAGAAATTAGGAGGAAAGAAATCAGAGTTCCATGGAGTACATCCAGATCTAAAGTACAAAAAAGAGCGGGTTTTTGCAGCAGAAGTGATTACAGAAGTTACATCTGACAGGTTTACTGAATCACAAATGGATAAATGACTCATATCCGAAAAATGCTTTGATTGGGGTGTTTTGGGAAAATGGTTAAAAGCTGGCTTTTTGGTTCTTTTTTGTGAGAGAGGAAGTGGGTTAAACGCGGGGAAGTGGCTTTTAACCCACTTCCCAAAATAGGAAGAAGAGGAAGCAGGATGATTACCTGAAATTCGCTGGAGAAAATACTCTTCCTCTGATTTTCTGAGGCAAAAATCACGCAATAAATCATGGATACTGCATTCTTTGATTCCACTGTCATATGCTCTTCTAGTAACTAATACCAGACTTCTAGCAATTAAATCCATCAAGTATTCCTCGGCTACATCTTCTAAGCTTTTCTCCCCAATCTTTTGTATAAATCCCTCAGCAATCCATAACCAAATCAACTTCCACACGGGAATTTGGAAGTCCTCTGGAAATGCACCAAAATAGAGAAAGCACGGTTTCAAGTGCCCAGGTAAGTGAATGTAACTCAACGCTAGTGTTTTCATACATGCTTGTGGATTGGCAGCCAAACTTGATTTTAAGGTTTCTCCTACTTGCTTCCATCGGTCTTGGCTCTTCTCTTCATTAATAAAAATTCCAGCTACCACAACAATCGACAAAGGTAGTCCCTGACACTTGTTGGCTATTTGCTTTCCGATCTCCACAAGCTCTGGAGGGCAATTTTTTCTTTTCCCAAACACCTTGTGTTGAAACAGATCCCAACTTTCGTTATGAGTTAAAAATCGAAGCCAAAGAGGTGGGTTATAGGGTTTGGCCTGCAAAGCCACGTCTTCATGTCGGCTAGTGAACATAATTCTACTTCCATTGTTGTCATTTGGAAAACAAATTTTCAAATCAAGCCAAGCCCTAGTATCCCATATATCATCCATCACAATGAAATACGTTCGACCCTTTAAGCTTTTGTACAACATTTCAGCTAATTTCTCATCGCTCATTTGATCAATTCTATTTGTATGTGGCATAACACAACTTACAAGGCGAAGTTACAAATTCCTCTTTCGATACTCTTGAGAAACAGATGTCCAAGCACGAACATGGAAGTGGTATACAATAAGAGGATCATTATAGAGTGTTGTTGCCAAAGTAGTCTTACCTTGTCCAGCCATCCCAACAATGGAAATAACCTCTAGCTGCCTTGGCCCTCGAGTAAGTTGTTCTTTTAAGGTCAATGCCTCGTCCTCAAATCCCACCATTATTTCTTTCTCCAATGCACACCAAGCGGTTGGGTTTGTGTTTGCTCTTGTTGGTTTTGAGTTTCCACTGCTGGAAAAACTTCCAACTTGTAGTGTGGCTTCCAAACCCATGTCATAAATTCCCATCATCTCTGTTTTGATGGCCTCAATCTCTTCTTTCACATGCTCAAGATTTAATGAGATCCTTCTTTATCTTCATTCGATACATAAACTTGTTCAAGAAAGTGTTGAATTTAAATGAGCGATCCTTCTTTATCTCTTCCACCGTACTAGCCTCCTTCATCTTCTTCATCTTAATATTCTTTGTCGAGAAAATGTTAACTAGGAACGAGTCGATCGTATTTTCTGCCTCGTACGCCAAATCTCTAATTCGTGCCTCCAGATTTTTCACTTGTTCCTGCTCAAAAAACTTCACCTGCAAATCATTCAGATTTGTTCTCAGCAATTGTAGATCCTCATAAAGGGTTTGAATTTGATCCTTCTCTTCCAAAATCAAATCGATCTTGGAACTCAGTAAATCCTTCAAATTCTTCGCTAGTAAATTGACTGCAATTTCAGCCATCTGTCTCTCCCTATATAAATATATATATATATATATATGGATGACGGAAAAGGGAACTTAAAATTCCAGATCAAGCAAGAGCTCTCTGTTCTGTTCCTTGCTTTTTGTTTAGTTTATAGTCGAGGCTTGACTCGCATTCAAAAAAAACAACTAATAAATTAAATAAAATCAATGATTTGACTAGGAGATTAAGCGGTGATAATTAATGCCTCCGTTTGGTAGTGTTGTGGGAAAGTGATTATGACCCGTTTGGTAAAATTGTAGAAAAATGATTATAATTTATAATTTAATAGCTTATAACTTATAGTTATGAACATAAGTTGATTTTTAACTTATAAATTAAGCTTGTTCTCCCCCACTCAAAGAATAAGTTGATTTTTTACTTACAAAAAGTTATAAGTTGTATTGTTAAACTGAACCAAACACATCAAAATAATTTAAATTAAACTAAAAGCTAAAATAAACTGGAAATAAGTTTTACCAAACAGGACCTATATTTTATACTTTAACAGCTTATAACTTATAATTGTGAACATAAGTTAATTTTTAACTTATAAATTAAACTTCTTCCCCCTACTTAAAGAATAAGTTAATTTTTAACTTATAAAAGACTATAAATTGTATTATTAAACTAAGTCAAACACATTAAAATAACTTAAATTAAACTAAAAATTAAAATAAACTGAAAATAAATCTTACTAAAAAAGCCAATTTTGACTTTGGCAACTCCGATACATACCATAATGTTCATAGACAACCACACTGAAAAGTTGCAGCAGTGGGGCGGCTTTTTCCAAGCGTTAACCAATACGAAATGCTATATGATCAGTTAGGGTTGCCTTTCGTAAAATTTTGGACAAATTACATATATCCCTTGTAGTTTGGCTAAATTATAAATACTCTCTGAAGTTTGAGAATTTATAAATTTTTCTCTGAATGCTATATTTGCATAACAAATTAGGCGGTAATTTGTTATGAAATATAAACCTCAAGGGACAAATTGTTATGAAAATATAAACCTCAGGGAGCGGGATATAATTTTGGAAACCTCAGGGGTATCTGTAATTTAACCAAACCTCGAGGAAGGTATATGTAATTTGCCCTAAAATTTTAGAATTATAATTTAAAAATAAAATTATATTTTAATTTTGTAAATTTTAAAATTATAATTTGAGTATAAAAAATTTATTTAATTATGAATTTTAAGTTGAGTTTGAAATTTTAAATGTGTCATGTGATATTTGATTAAAAAACTTATAATTTATAATCAAACACATTCAAAATTCTATTCAGACCTCAAAAAAAATTTAAAAAATTTTTCAAAAATATTTTTTATTTAAAATATAAAAATAATAGGTGTTAAAAAAAATATTGTTCCAATCAACCGACAAAACGTTCGGGATGATGATCGAGTAGACGTGTTTGCAAAAGTAGGTGTGAAATCAATTTTTAAAATCTGTAACTAAATACCACACTCAAACAAAGAGGTGAAATTAAAGTTAGAAATCTCTACCAAACAGAGCCTTTTTTTTCTTTTTAAAATAGTGTTTGTTGTAATTTTTTTTTTCAAACAGAATTTGAAAAAATTAAATATTTGACCTTTTTAAGTTCGATCCCTTTTTTAATTTGATTTTAAATTTTTTTATTATTATTTTGATCTTTCATGTTTTAAATTTTTTCTAATTTATTCTTAAAGTTAATTTTTGTTAAACATTAGACAGAAAATGACAAATTGACAATTATATGGCATACAAATATTTTATTATATATAATTCATACATTTAACACAAACTCAAATTCTAACATCCTTTTTTGGAACTGGTATGATATTTTCTTACCATGTCGGATATTCGGACACAACCAAAAATCCAACATTGATTTGCTTAGTAACCTCCTCCGTAATCTTTAATGTCTAGTTTGGCTGAATTCTGTGAAGCTTCTTCTTAGCATGTTTGGCCCGGGGAACGAGCACGATCTTGCGTTGGACAATCTCAAGATAGATTCCAGGCATGTCTTTGTAGGACCATGCAAAAATATTTTAAATTCTTTTAACAAAGTGACTAATCACTAGAATTCCTCTTAAGACAGCGTGGAACAAATCTAGACCAAGTGAGGATCCTCCGTAGCACCCACATTAATCAAAACAATTTCATCCATCAAAGGTTTTGCACGTCTCTCCTCCTCCCAATTAATCACAATTTTCAAAACCCATGAAATTTCTTCCTCTTTACTTTCATCAAAATTTTGAAAATCTTGGTCAATGCAATAAATTAAGGGCGCAGAAAAGTAACCACAATTGACATGATTCTCTTTCATCAAGTCTGGCTCAATAGATATAGTGGACTCAAAAGAAATGAAAAGGATGACCGAGACAAGACGGTGGTATTTGGGTCATCAACCCCAGAAGCACCCGACTCAGAACTATCAGAAGGACCCAAGCTTAACTCCGACTCTATAGACTCAATGGAATCAAACTCGAACTCCTTATCAGATTCAGACTCCATGATACAACCCTTCTCAAGTTGCCAAGTCAAACGAGGTGCCTTAGATGCATCCAAGATGAGATCACTGCAATCCATGGACAATCCTTCCCCGATCACAAAAATGTTGACATCCTCAAAACCCTATAACTTGTTGCCAGCTTCACAATCAGCCAGTGTCAACCCCACTTTGTCCCCCTTCATTTTGCCTAGACAATTGCTCATGTCCCGATCCATTCCATTTCCAAAGTCTGCTTCTTCATCCTCATTTTCAAACAGCTAGTGGTCAAAGAAAACCTCAAATTTGGGAAGACACTCCTTTGCCTAGGGGTTCACCCATGGTTCAGGAAAACCACAAAAGGAGAAATCATCTCTTTCTTTGACAAAATGACCATTTAATGTTCTCTATATTGGTTTGTGCTTCAATTCATATTGCTTTCTTACTCCCTGAGCTTTAGCCCTTGCTCTCACCTCATCTTTCATGGTTCTGTACCCTATACCAAAGGAATGAGGATTATGGGTAAGTTCCTCTACTGTAGCAATACCTTTCCTTCCACTCCTTCAAAGTCTCATCCCCAGGATATGTCCGAACTTACTTATGAAGTAGATTGACTGAGCACTTAGGTACATAACATTTTCATCTACCATGATAGTTTGGACTCACTAAGCCTCAGCTAATGTGAATCCAAAAAGAGGGTTAAAGCTACCTTCCATGCACGCCAATATCCCCTGAGTAGTCTTACCTTTCGGTGGGGAGAGGAGCTTGCATAGCTGTATAATATGGCGACGCTAGCGCCTCCCCAATCGTTATCTCTCATCCGTAGGATGTCCACCATCATGCGCATAAAGTATAATCCAATGATATTCTCCCTGTTTGCAAATAGGGTAATACTGAGCACAAACGGAAGAAATCTGTGGCGTACTGAGTAGTGGCCTCAAGAGTGTCAGGGTGCGTGTCGTGGAATCTCTAATGAAGCCAGTGGTAACGAATGATCCCTGGGCTATCCTTTGGGGGTATGACCCCAGGTAAATAAAGTTGGGCTACATCTTAAGATCCCATATCTGAGTCAAAATAGATCGTATCACTCCCTACCAGAATGCCGATAATCGTGGAGAAGTCATAGGGTGTCATCAGCATCTCCCCAATGGAAGGAAAATGGAAAGAGTTAGTGGTGTTCCACCACCTCTCCATAAGGGCCACAATGGCCAATTGGGTAGCCTGCATCTGTGTGATCCCAAAACAGAAGGTACCAAAGCTGACGTGCTCCACCAAGGCCCGGACTCGAGGCAGGAGAACCCGGTACCATCAGCAAGGGAATATGACTATCCTATAGCCCTTCGCCTGGCAGTTGTCGACCTATTGCAAGAAAGTTTGATCAATACAATGCAAATGTGAGCAAATGTGAATAAACATGTGGGGTTGGAATCAAGGCTTACAAGGCAGGCACTGTAGGACAAATCTAATTGTCGCTCCCTACGAAGTATGTCTGGAGCAACTCCTAGCCGGAACTCGGTAAAGGTGAGCATGCTACCATGAATAATCTGGTGAACTTCAGGATGGTAGGTAACCAAATCAAATGGCCTGAGAGGCAAGGAGAGAAGCTTAGGACCAAATGCGGGACGAGGGATGTCTTTCACTACCATGTCTAGATTATCCTCTTGGATGCTCATGTCCTCAGCAAACATGTGTACGTTGGCCTTAGGGGCTGGGGGAGGCATGTCGACCTCTAAAAAGATGAGAGAAATGTC